AATTATTTACAATGAGAAATGTAGCAGCCAAGTAGATCAATATATTTATGTTGGCTGGTTTGCAAGCTCTTTTCCCACAAAGGAAACTAAACAAAGATTTAGAAGTCTGTTGCTGCATGAGAATAAGTTATTAGTACAAGGATGAGGTCCGAGAGAGGTTCGTTTATAAATTGATCTACCTAAAATTCCCTGATTCCCATTGAATGTCTACTCCTCTAAAGGTCCAGCTTATACCTCACCTGTTCTGTGAAACTTCTTCTAGCCCTGAGCCTTTGGTAAAATTAATCACTCATTTGGCCAGACCACCGTAATATTTATAAATCTCTTATAGCACTAATCACCTTATATTCTAGTATTTCTTGATGTACCTGTCAATCCTGCTGTTTCAACAAGGGACGCTCTGCATGTTTGTTTCCCCAATGCCTAGCGCGTAATAAGTGCTCAGTGTAGAGTTGCTGAATGAAAGAAGGATGAAGGAAGGAAGGAAGGAAGACGGAAGGAAGTTATTGCTCTATCTACCCTGATGACATTTCCTAAATCAGATTTTACTAAATGGATGTGGATAGATATTAAGAGCAGTTGGGGGTGGGCGGTATGTGGAAACAGACAGAAAGAGAGAGGATGCTGTCACTTAACTGTGGGAGACTTGTCTGAACATTATACCATGGGGAACCTATAAAAGCCAGTTATAGGCAACACTCAATGCTTTGCATTTTCACCCAGACCGATATGCTTATCTGATTCATTTATATTATGCCCTGGCCTCACTATAGGCCCTGGCTCATATGTGCCTTAGCTTGCCTTCCTGTTTTAGTGAACAATTTGACCACCTCCACAAGCATAACTCACCTCTCACCCATCTCCTCTGCTCTCCTCTGCTAATTCTCAGGGCACTTTAGATCCCTATTTCTCAAAGGACCAATAGCATCAACATCACCTGTGAATTTGTTAGAAACACAAAACCTCAAGCCCCAGAACTACTGAATCAGAATCTGAATTCTTACAAGATCTTGAAGTGACTTATAGGCACATTAAAGTTAGAGAAGCTCTGCTTTAAATCTTTACAATAACCACTTCTCCTAGCTCATGGTTTTCCTCTCTATCTTGTCTCCTGTTATTCTCAAGACATCAACATTCATTGTATTAGTTATTTATAAAATCACTCCAACTAATCAGCTTAAAACAACAAACATTATTGCCTCACAGTTTCTGTGCGTCAGGAATCTGGGCAAGATTTACCTAGATCCTCTGACTCAGGGTCTCTCACAAGGCTGTAATCAAGGTGTCAACTGGGGCTGCAAACATCTATGGCTCAATTGGGGAGGAGCCACTCCAAACTCACTCATGTGGTTGTCGACAGGCCTCATGTCCTTCTGGGCTGTTGGACTGCGGGCCTCACGTTCTCACTGGCTGCTGGGGAGAAGCCTCCCTTAATCCTTACCTGATTGATTTCTCCTTTGGACAGCTCACAACATGGCAGCCGGCTTCACAGAGTAAACAAATGAAAAAACAAGAGAGCGCAAGCAAACAGAAGCTAATCTTTTGATAACAGAATATCAGAAGTGACAGTCCATCATTTCTGCCTTATTTTATTTGTTAAAAGTAAGTAACTAGGTCTAGTCTATGCTCAGGGGGAGCGGATCATACAAGGATGTGAATGGGCTATCTTTGAAACTGTCTGCTATATCCATGTTTATTTTTATCTAATAAATTGGCCAACTAGTTTCTGCTTCAGTTACATATCTGTATGGCCATATCTGGGACCTCAATACCATTTAGAATTTTACATTCTCCAAATTTTCTCCCTCTGTGCTTCCTGTCTTGGCTATGACTTATTATTCCCTGTACTTGTCCCACATTTTCACTCCCATTAAACCATCCTTCACAACAAACATGACTTCCTATCCTTTTTAGCCTTGTTCTGGTCTATTAATGCTCTTTCAGTTGTAGGCAACACTCAATGTCTTATATTACACAGGGGTCTTCCTTTGAGTGGCCAGTTATGTATGGACTTACCAAAAATCTAGAAACACCCACAGTCACCCATTCGATTTGTGAGATTGTCATCTTTTCTTCCTCCACTTTAGGGAAAATTTTGCGTTCTCTGGTTTTCTTCCATTTACAGGTCTTTGAGCATCCCTGAAGGAAATCATAAAATCATGCAGATTGGATTCACTATAAATGTATGTTATCTAATTTCATCTGGGCAACACCTCTCTTCAGGATTGCATCCCTACAGAATTTACCCACCAGCATTTTCAGAACATCTAGGGTTCTGTGGCAGGAATCAAAATGCTTCTCCTAACCCCACTCCTCCCAACTTGTGGACCCGCTCAAGCTGCCTCCAGTGGTTCTTTTCCATACACCTGGCCTGTCTTGGCTCATGGTGCTGACTTTCTTAAAATCTCTTAAAGGTTCACAAAATAGCATCTGGCTTTGGCATGTCCCATACCTCTTGCTGAGCAGCCTCAAGCCTGGCACAAGCAGCAGCCAGTCTTGGTTCCCAGATTGGCCTCTGGAGGCATCTCTAAACCCAGCACAGGTGGCAGCCATCTGCGGATTGCCTGGAGACTCTTGCCAGATGGCCCTGGGCAGTGCAGAGGCTGTGGCTGAAATTGGCCTGTGGCTGGGCCCCTCCCAGGAGGCCCTTGGGCCAGCAAGCCCGGTGGCCAGAGCTGGAGCACTGCCCAGGGCTGCATCTAAGAGGGACACACCCAAAGGGCAGACTGGGTAGGCACCAGAGCCCTGCTAAAGTGAATCCTGCTCTGTAAGGTCAGCCCTTCACCAGCCAGTCCTCAGAATCAATCAGCCTGAGGGTCATTCCTTCCACTGATGAGCAAACAGCAAACACAGCTCAACAACAACAGGAGGGCACATACAACCCATACAAGGGATACACCTTGGGCACGCAGCTTAGGTGACCAGGGAAGCCTGCATGACTGGACCCCACAGGACATCAACTACATAAAATCACTCTACTAAGACTGGGAGACTTAGAAGCCTAATACACAGGAAGGCAGCCAAAATGAGGAAACAAAGAAACACGTCCCAAATAAAAGAATAGATCAAAGCTCCAGAAAGAGAACTAAACAAAATGGAGTCAGGCAATCTACTAGATTCGGCATTCAAAACGTTTATTATAAGGATGCTCAGTGAACTTAAAGAAGAATAGATGAACTAGTAAGAACTTTAACAAAAAGATAGAAAACACACAAAAATAACCAGTTAGAAATGAAGAATACAATAACTGAAATGAAAAATACATTAGAGGGAATCAACAGATTAAATGAAACAGAAGATCGAATCAATGATTTAGAGGAGATGGTAGCAGAAAACACCCAATCAGAACAGCAACAAGAAAAATAATTCAAGAAAATGAGGATAGTTTAAGGAGCCTCTGGGATAACAACAAGGGTAACAACATTCATATCATAGAGGTACTAGAAGAAGAAGATAGAGAGTAAGAAATTGAAAACTTCCCTCAGAGAGTCCCAAACAAGATGAACCCAAAGAGGCCTATGCCAGACATCATAATCAAAAGGCCAAAGGTTAAAGACAAAGAGAGAATCTTAAAAGCAGCAAGAGAAAAGCAGTTAGTTACCTGCAAGGGACCTCTCACAAGACTATCAGCTGATTTCTCAACAGAAACTTTGAGGGCCAAAAGGGATTGGCAGGAATATTCAAAGTGTTGAAAAGTAAGGATTACTCTACTCAGCAAAGCTATCATTTAGAATCAAAGAACAGATAAAGAGCTTCCCAGACAAGAAAAAGATAAAGGAGTTCATCTCCAGCAAGCCAGTGTAACAGAAAATGTTGGAGGGACTTCTTTAAGAAGAAGAAAAAAATATATATAAAAAATATGAATAATAAAATGGCAATAACTACATATCAACAACTACTTCAAATGAAAAAGGATTAAGTGCTCCAGTCAAAAGATAGGGTGGATGAATGGATAAGAAAACAGGACCTTTCCATATACTGCCTACAAGAGACTCGCTTCAGGTCAAAAGACACATACAGACTGAAAGTAAAAGTATGGGAAAAGAGGTATTGTGAAAATAGAAATGAAAAAAGAATCTGAGGTAGCAACTTATACTAGACAAAATAGACTTTAAAACATAGGCTATAACAAGAAATAATGAAGGACTCAGTAATCCCACTTCTGGGTATTTATCTGAAAAAAACTCAAAATACTGCTTTGAAGGAACATGTGCATCTATATGTTCATTGTAGCATTATTTACAATAGTCAAAATATGGAGGCAACCTGGGTGTCCATCAATGGAGGAATGGATAAAGAAGAGGTAGTACATATATACAGTGAAATATTACTCAGCCATAATAAATAAATATAAATAAATAAATAAAATCTTGCCATCTGCAATGACATAAATGGACATAGAGGGTATCGTGGTGGGTGGAGTAAGTCAGACAAAGGAAGACAAATGCCACATGATTTTATTTACATGAGGAATCTAAGGTACAAAATAAACAAAAAACCCAGAAACAAACTCATAGATAGGGAGAACATTTTGAGGGTTGCCAGATGGGAGTGGGGCTGGGAGGTTAGTGAAAGAGGGGAGGGGATTAAGAAGTACAAATTGGTAGTTACAAAATAGTCAAGGGGATATAAAGTATAGCATAAGGAATATAGTCAACAATATTGTAATAACTATATATGGTGTCAGAGGGGTACTAGATTTATTGGGTGATTGCTTCATAAGTTATATAGATGTCTAATCGCTATGTTGTACACCTGAAACTATTATAATATTGTATGACAACTATAATGGAAAATTAAAAAAAATATTTTTTTAAAAGAATGCCCCTAGACTTCCTCCTCTGCGGGCACATTACATATTGGAGAAGGCGAAACCCCACAGTTATTACTCCTCCATGTGCTGTCCATCTCTTAAGATTTTGTTGACCTCTCTCATCTACTGTTGCCTCATTTTACATGTTATTGTACTTATTGATGTGTCTTTTTTCAGTTCTCGTTTTTTAGACTGTTGGGAGAAAGAAGAAATAAAGACCTTTGCCAATCTACTTGCTCCGCAGACCCATCTGAGTGATAGGATATTCTCCCACGTCCCTGTGTGAAGGATTAGGGTGACATTAAGATATACCAGCATACCAGAATGCAGGTATTAATAATTTTAAAAACTCCCCTAGGTGATTCTGATAATCTCTACCAGGACTACCATTTTTGTATTAGTTATTCATTGCTGTAATTGCTGTATACCACATTAATCTAAAACTTAATGGCTGGAAAAAAACAAACATTATCTCACAAACAACAAATATTACTTCACAGTATTTGTGGGTCAAGAATCTGGAAGTGGATTATCTGGGTACTTCTGGCTTAGAGTCTGTCATGAGACTGAAATCAAATTGTTGGGTAGGGCTGCCCACCATCTCCTTAGATAGACTCTATTTGACAGTATTATAACAGAGGCAATATATCAGAGAGTTAAAGTACAGTCTTTGGAGTGAAAGAGGCCTGAATTTGAGGGGTGGATCTAGCATTTTTTCATGTATGACTTTATGAAATGAACTTTCTCCGAACTCTAGTTTTCTATTCTAAAACATTAGGATAATAAGACCTACCTCATAGAGTTATTGTAAGAACTAAATAAAACGATGCATATAAAGTTGTTAACATAATCTCTTTTTCTTTTTAAATAGATATGCCTCCTGACATCTTTTTCCAAGCTAATATAGATTACCACTACCAGTTTATTTCTTCATAACATTTTTGACCAAATTATTCTCAAATCAAAACCTATTTATTGAAGTTAAGACTCCTTAGCATCCCTTTCAAGATTCTTCAATATAGTCTCAACCTTCCTACTTCCCCTTCTCATTCTATTCTTCCCTGCATTTCTCCTGTGTTTTAGTCCACCTCTACTGGATACTTTTTCTAAAACTCCCTTATGCTTTTACTATCACAAGTTATTATTCATGAGCTTTTCCCCATGTGTGTCCACAGAAACCTTAGCCATCTTCTAAGATATAGCTGAAATTCTTTCTCTGAGAATCTGTTTGCCTTAGTCAGAAGCAATCCCCTTCTGGCGTGAGTTTCCAGATATTTAGTATACTATTTTATGATATTATTTATTTAAACGAGCAAATGAAAGTGGCACTTCGTCATCATTAAGAATTGTCATTGAAAGTAGATTCCAAGCTCTCAGGGGACAGAGTTTACATCCTACACTTTCTTCTGTCTTCTATAGCACCCAACACACTACCTGATAAATGAAACGGGCGAATAGATGGGGTAAATAGTGGACAGGGAAATATACTGTAAAATGACAAACAAGATTATCCAAAAATAATTTCAGGGACTCATTATGTGTTGTCTGGAAATGGGTTGACTGGACCACAGGCCCTTCCACCTCACCAGCAAAAAGAGGCTGCACTCAAACCCAACTTACCACGTGTGCCTATCAATTTCCTATTTGCTCTTGGAAGCATCTCCCACCCTTTCCCTTCTCTGTGCTGTATCGCAGGGAACTACATCTGCCAGACTCCCTTGCCCTTTGGCTTTTAGGTAATTTCAGGTAGTTTTCATGTTTTGTTTCACTATAATTTACTCATTTTCATTGCTGTAAAATATTCCATTGTATGAATGTACCAAGTTTATGTATTTATTCTATTAATGGACATTTGAGTTTCTAGTTTGGGGCTATCATTAATAATGCTGACATAGACATTCTCTTACGTGTCTCTTGTAAAAAGACATGTTAGCAATTACTTTTTGGATTAGCACTTATTTCTAGGACTGGAATTGCTGGGTGACGGGTATGTGTGTTTCTAGTATTTACTAGATATTTCAAATCTCCAAAGTCGTTACAGAGTTGTATGAGAGTTCTTGATGCTCTACATCCTTGCTAATGTTTGGTATTGTCAAACTTTTACAATTTCTGCCTATCTGATACTTATGAAAAGATATCTCATTCTGTTTAATACACTAATTACTAGGGAGGTTGAGTCCCTCTTCTTAGGTTTATTGATTCTGTGTGTCTTCTGTGAAGTCATTTGTATGCTAATCTTTCAGTTGGTTGTTTTTGTCTCCTTTGACATATAGGAATACTTTATATATTCGGAATATCACACATTGTTAGTTTTAACATATACTTATTGAGCATTTACTATGCTAGAAGAATACAGTAGTGAACAAGACAGACCCCAAAAACTTATGCTTCATGAAGCTTAAATTTCAGTATACGGAGAGAAATAATGAACACAGTAAATAAGCAAAGGTTGCAGTATATTAAATTTTACATACTCTGTTATAAATGCTCTACAGGTTCTCCTTGACTCAATAGAGTTACATCCCAATAAACCCATTGCAAACTAAAAATAGCATAAGTAAAAAATTCATTTAATACACTTAACCTACTGAACATCATAGCTTAATTTAGTCTACCTTAAACACGCTCAGAAAACTTACATTAGCCTATAGTAAGGCAAAATCATCTTGCTGCTACTGCCCAGCATAATGAGAGAATATCCTACCATACATCACTAACTTGGGAAAAGATCAAAATTGAAAATTTGAAGTACAGTATCTATTGCATGTGTATTGTTTCTGCACCCTCATTAAGTTGAAAAATCTTAAATCAAATGATTGTATGTCGGGGAGTGTCTGTAGAAAGAAATAAAGAAATAAAGGACTTCTGGGGAAGGGTTACAATTTAAAATAGGCAGTCAAGGAAGACATCACTGAGAAAGTGACATTTGAATAAAACCCTGAAGGAGTTAAGGAAACAGATCATAGAAATATTTGGTGGAAGAACATCTCAGATAGAGAAAACAACAAATGCAAAGGCCCTGCAGTTGGAGCATAAATGGCATATTCAAGGAACAACAAGGAGGCCAGTGTGGCCAAAGCTGAATCAGAAAAATGAGTCATAAGAGATGAAATTTGGCAGCAAGGTGGGGAAGATGTCTGAATGTAAAGGCTGTTGTAGACCATTATAAGGACTTTTACTCTGGGTGAGGTGGGAAGCCATTTGAGGAATGGAAAATTTTGAGCAAAGAAGTGACACAATCTGACTTACTATTTTAAAAGGCCCACTCTAGGGGACAAGGGTAAAAGTAAACTGAGGGGCTTTCAAAATAATCCAGGTGAAAGATAATGGTGGCTCGTACTAAGGACATACTGAAGTGGTAAAAAGTGATTAGATAAAATTAAAAGATAACCCGTGAGTAACTATGGCTTAGCTGAGGTCAGGTGGCATTTGTTGGTTAGTTACTGATTAATCTGTGTTTTTCTACTCTAGAAGAACTATCTCTAGTAACACATAGGAGCTGAGACTGTGGGTGGAGAAAACAAAGGTAACCAACTTATTGGTATGGCTATAACAGTAAATAGACAAAAATAATAATGGCTCAGGCCGAGGTGGCACCAGTGAGAGTGATGAGAAGTTTTTAAATCTAGATTTATACTAGAAGTAGAACTAATAAGATTTATTGATAAATTGGGCAAGGAATATAAGCAAAAGTGAGAAATCAGGGATGACTGAAGGGGTGTTTATCCTAGAAGGTTAGAGTTTCTATTAGTTAATAATGGAAAAACTTTAAGACCAGATTTGGTAGAGAAATTCAGGAAATCATTTTTGGACTTTTTGGTTTGCGTTACCTTTTAGACATTCAAGTGGAGGTACCCAGTTGGCAACTGGATATACAAACCTGGTATTCAGGAGAATTTAAAGGGAGTTTTATTAGTCAACATTATTGATGTAATGAATGAGACCCAAATCTCAGTGGATTACCGCAACCAACATTTATTTCTTGCTCTCGTTACATATGAGCAACAGGTTGATTACAGCTCTGCTCTAGGCGGTGGGCCAACTATGTGTCTCATTCAAATATCTTCTAATTTTGGGCCTAGGCTGAAGAAACAGCCACTGTCTGCCACATGCCATACTCATGGCAGAGGACAGAAGCAAGAGTGGCCAAACTAAACAATATAATCCAATTTAAAGCATTTCCTTACATGTGGCTTAAACCACATGCTTTCATTCCATTCTATTCGCCAAAGAAAGTCACATAGCCCAGCCCTGCAACGAGACAAGGATATATATTGTGCATAGAAGAGGCTTTTCAAGACAAATCCAAAGGGTGTGGATGTATGGTCTTCACAGAGGGAGGGAGCAAATAGTTGTAAACTATCATTCAATCTGCCACAAAGTGAGTATAGACATCGAAGAGAAGAAATCAAAAGATTGAGATGTTCTAGTGTTCAGAGGTCAGGGAGATAAGGAAAAACAAACAAAGAAGACTGAGAAAAATCAGATAGTAAGGTAAGGAGAAAACAGGTTGGAAATCAATGGAATATTACTCAGCTATAAGAAGAGATGAAATACTGCCATTTGTGATAACATGGGTAGACGTTGAGATTATCATGCCAAGCAAAATAAGACAGAAAAAGTTGAAAACCACATTATAGCACTTATATGTGGGATATAAACCTAAAAACAACAAACAAACAGGACAAACAGAGACTCGTGGCCATAGACAATAGACTAGTGGTTGCTAGAGGGTGGCGGGGGGAAGGGAGGTAGATGAGGTAAAAGGGGTCAAATATGTGGTGATATAAAGAAATCTAACTATGAGGGGTGAACATACAATACAATATGTATATGATGTACTGTTCAATTTTACACTTGAAACTTACTGGATTTCACTAACCAATATCACCATAATAAAAAATGGAAAAAAAAAAAAAAGAAAGAAAAGTGTCTCAAGAACAGAGGAAACAACTGAGTCACATGTTGCTAATAGGTCAAGCAAGATGAGGACCGATATTGATCATTCAATTTAGCCATGTGGAAATCTTTGGTGAACTTGACAAGAAAATCGATGAATGGTGTGGGGCAAAAACTTGATCAATGTGGAGTCAAGAGAGTGGGAGGAGAAAAGTTAAAGACAGTGGGCATAGGCAGTCTGCTCTTTTAAGGACTTTTGCTAAAAGGGGAAGGAAGTAAATGGAGGAGTAACTGGAAGAAACAGTGAGGTCAATAGTATTTTTATTAAGAGAGAAGAAATAAAACTGTGGTTTTGTGATGATAGAAAAGATCCAGTGGAGAAGGAAAAACTGGTGATGCCAGAGAGAAAGCAGAGAATTGCTGTATACGGATGTCCCTGAATAGGCTAGAAGGAACGGGATGAAGTGCACAGTGGAAGGCTGGTTTTCACGAGGAGTATGGACTCATTCATACTAACAGGTGAGAAAGCAGAGCATATGGACATAGCACCGTAGGTGAGTAGATATGATAGTGTTAGCATATGAAAATTCTTTTATGATTTCTTCTATTTTTCAGCAAAATAATATGCAACTCATCAACTGAGTGTGAGGATAGAGAGAAGTTGTCAGAGGTTTGAAACTTAGAAGAAAATATGAATAGTCTAGAATGGGAGACTGAATGCACTGGGGAACAATGCTTGATAGGTAGCATTAAAGGCTTACTTGAGGACAGTGATGGTTGTGTGATTTTTCTTCTCCTACCACAGTCAGCTGCAGTGGTGTGGGTGCAGTGTTGAGTGGAGAACTGGATTTATCAGGGTAACAAACAGAAAGTTATACTTAACCAGAATTTGTCAAGTTAAAAAAGAGAGCAAGAGGGACAAAGCAGTTTAAGATGTCTGCAAGAGGAAGTTGATAATAGTTAATTATGGAATTTAAGTTAGACAATAATAGAAGTAGAGCATGACACAGGATGGGAACAATAAAATGATAGAAGAATCAATAGATGATCCAGGTAAATTTGACAAACTATTGGAATAAGAAATAAGCTTAAAAATTAGAAAATCTCGGTCAGAGTGTGATCCTGAACATTGAGATTGTGGAGGAGTTGCAGTTATGGATAATGATAAGATCTAGAGCAGCTCCATCCAAGAGAACTTTCTGTAATGATTGAAATGTTCTCTATCCACCATCTAATACAGTAACATCAGGGGTACTGATCACAGGAAATGGGATGACTAAGGAAATGAAATATAAATTGTGTTTAATTTTAATAAATTTTGAATTAAAAGCAACATGAAACTAGTTGCTACCTTATTGGACAGTGCATTTCTAGAGATATAATCATTTTAGTGAGTGGCTAAGATGGAAAACAACAGTAGTAGAGAAGAGGAGGCCAAACTTTATTGGAAGGACCATATCAGTAAGTGGATATTGAAATTACCAAGAATTATGACAAGATTAGTATTGGACTGACAGTGAAGTACCAGCTAAAATCTTTAAGGAAAGACAAGTCTCAGGATAGGAGCATGGGTATAACAAGGAACGAACTGAGTGATATAGTCAGATAACATGTTAATCAAAACAGAGTTTTAGGAAAGAAGAAAAGAAGGAAAAAGTTTAGTAATGCAAAGAGGATGCCTATCCTTTGTCTACATCCAGTGGTATAATATATGCTTTTATAATGTCTTCTTTCACTGAAAAGAGAAATTCGTGGATTGTCTTATCTCTTATTTATGATGTCTTTCGTTGAGTAAAAGTTTCACTTCTTAAATTTGAAAAGTTTATTTATCTTTTCTTTTATGATTCTGATTTT